CTATACACAAAGGCGCCACCAGACCAGAAATATCTGAAATATTCACTATGTGATAATGGTGGATTTTGTTGTGACGCCGCCTCTATTGTGTACGACATAGAAATGTCACCGCCGGGACTCGAACCCGGGTCGCGTGGGTGAAAGCCACGTATCCTAACCGCCTAGACTACGGTGACTTTTATTGATGATGTAGGTAGAAATACCTAGGCTGCATATCTTCCAATATGTCGCGAGCTAGATATCGGTTTCGGTGCACTAGGTATGTGCTGCCCCAATGAATGTGCGCACTGGCTACAGGTATGCATCGTGTGAGTGGCGAGCCCTCTGAAGCACTGCGAAATGAACGCGAGGTAGCTGCTGCCCATCCCGTGGACTTACCGCCCATCCAAAGTAGTTGTCGAAGTGGTTGAGGATGTCCTTGAGGCGCCCGTCATCGATAAGAATGATGATGATGCGGCTGGCCGGGAGTGGCAGGTCGTTGTTGAAGCCCTTGTGCTCCCATCCAAAGATAGCCTTGTACAGTGTACCCTTCTTCAAGCGCTTCATACGGTGGGAAAGGGGTGGGCATAGGGCTGTAACCCTACAATAAAGAACTCCGTAAATCTTATGGCTCGTCCACAACCAACATATTTCTGCCCACCATGGACGCCATCGTATGCACAGTGCACGGTGCACGGACGACAAGACTGACGGCCTCACACCTGACACCTGGTACTTCGAGGGTGCCCTGTTCCTGCTGTCGGACACCACCAGGGACAGTGGCGCCTCTGCTGGCGCCTGCCGCAACAACCTGGTGCACGCAGTCGGCTTGATCACTGACCCCTGTGAACCACCGGATCAGGGCACAGGCCCCTTCTGGCGCCTCAAGTATCTGCCCCAAGCTGTGCTGGTCACGCATGCAAAAACCGTGGGCAGCACCAACGTCTTCAAGGGGGAGGAACTCTTCGAAGATGTGCAGCATGCCTTCCTGGTCTGCCCACGCTCCACAAAGAACCCCCTCAATGTCCACACCCTCGACGACCAGGGCAGGGAGACAGTCCTCAGGGTGCGATGTCACAACGTCCCTCTCAGAGACGCCTATGCTGTCACGGACTTCTTTGTCCAGGGGTGCAGTTTCAAGGATGACTGCTGGATCGTCGACCTCTGCCCACCGCCAACTGGCATCAAGCGTGCATGCCTCTTTGTCATCCTCACGTGCTACAAGTCCATGGACCATATCCGCCTCCTGCGCCCGCTCTACAACAACACCTATGAGAAGGCGCAGGTCATCAAGGTGTTCACCAAAGCAGCCACCATCCACCCGGACCTCGACACAGAAAGCAAACTCCAGACCGCTGCTGCACAATGTACCCAGGAACGACACACAGCACTCTTCCAGGAAGCACAGCGACTCGTCGACAGCTGGACTGCGAACCACCCACCACACAACTGCGACCGCGACAAACTGGGACTGTACTCATGCATCATGGGGATGCGACACGGCCCCATGTATGCACTACAGTGAGGCGGTGAGGACAGGCACCCGCCCGGACGTGAGAATGCAACGGCACTAGAACACGAGAACACAAGCACGCGTCCAGGGCGTGGCAATAGCTGGGTTCTGCTCATGACGATCATCAAATGCAGGAACGTCCGTGCAGACTGCTGTTACTCCGCTGCTGACGATGCTGCCACCGTGGTGATTTCATGCAATTAGTGTGATGCGAGCCTAGGCGGCATTATTCACTTCACCTCTCACAATCCGCGGACATTCCTTGTGCCGTGCTGCTATCAGGGCCCCTCGTTGATTGCTGTTATGGGTCGTTGCTGTTGGATGCCGGACGTGAACCTCGAGAATGCCTTCTGCTACAGCACTGCTGGCTGTGGCTTGCTACTAAGCCACCCTCCATCACAGATGTAATGTAACTGAGTCCTCGCCACTGCTTCCCCACATTATTACTGATCTCACCTACGCACCACACAGCACCTTACGCACCACACACCCACAGCTGGCCTGGGAGTGGAAGCTACGGTCCCCTTCACAGCACGCCGCGGTACTGTACGGCGTGCCGTTCAGGTAGGCCTCACGTCCGCGGTCGTGCCCGAGTGGTTAAGGGGTCTGACTCGAAATCAGATGGGATCTCCCGCATAGGTTCGAATCCTGTCGACCGCGTCCAGCCCTCCAACGGGCTACTGCCAGTCGCAGACTCTGACATGCACAGACATGGAGCGCTGAATCCGTAGCGGCCCAGGCGGCAGTGCATGGAAACAGTTTTACTTCCTGAGCAGCGCGGCAAAGCGCTCATACAAGCAAGAAAGCGATACACGCTGACATGGGACTGATCTTCGATTCTGTCACGGAGCATGGAGGTAGGTGCGAGTGGCAGAAATTGCACTTCTGCTGCAAAAGGGTTCGCCCAGGACGCCATCGTCGTTGGGAAGGGCGAACTGGTGGAGGAGCAAGACACACATGTCCCAAAACAGACTCACACACACACACAGACAGACAGACAGACAGACAGACAGACCCCCACCGCCAAGCCAGCCAGCAGATGCGTGCTCATGCACTCCACAGTCATCCGTTCTGCAAGCTGCTTGCCAAGCAGTGTAGCCATGCCATGGCCCGTGGACATGTACTCCCCTGAAACGAGGACTATCCTTTCAAGCCTCAACATTTAGACGCATGAGCCCAAACAGA